ATGTTGTCTGCCACTGCTGCTTCTTCTTGTCTGCCACTACTGCTTCATGTTGTTTGCCACTGCTGCCTCATGATGTCTGCCACTGCTGCTTCATGATGTCTGCCACTGCTGCTTCATGTCTGCCACTGCTGCTTAATGTTGTCTGCCACTGCTGCTTCATGTTGCCTGCCACTGCTACTTCATGATGTCTGCTCCCACTTTTGCTAGCATGTTGAAGAGCTTTCCATTATGTGAAGGTTGAGGAGGGGCAGTGCCAATCGGACAGGTATTGGACGGTTATGTCATTTGTTTACTCTTGAACATTGCCAAAGAATCGAACATTTCTGTTACTCTGAGCTCAATTTCAAGATACTTTTTGTTGTGAAACCAATCAAAATCACATCTATTTGTTTAGTATATCTTCCATTCTATCAAATGAGACCAAAAAAACGAGAATACAACTATAAAAACCATACAAAAATATACTGCTAAGGGGAGGCTAATGGCTGAAAAGTGAAATCTATTATTTTCCGATTTCTTCCATTTCTGGTGTACATTAAGAAGCATCTTTCCATAATACATTGCCCAAGTTTCAATATTTAGTCCAACAAACAGAGATCCAATTCCATTGTTTGCCAGAACCAAGTCAAGCAGGTTATTTCCCCTTGGAGGTTCTGTCACAAACTGTTTCAAAAAACAATCCTGAACTACTTCTAAGAAGCCATTAGATTCTGAATTCCCAGTTAAGAAATTCCAATCAATCTGACTAAAGTTGAAGTCATCTAGAATTACTACGCTATCGTGCATTGTGGCCTTAACAATTTCCTCCCATAGTAGTCTCCTTTGATCCCTTTCTAAGTTTCGGGGATGGTATATCATACCTAAAATAAATTTTTCATGCCCCTATGAAAATTCTATCCAGACAGATTCATTTTGTGTTTCAGACTTTATGCCTGTTTTTATGCAACAATTTAAATGATCACGGACATAGAGTGCAACCCCATCCCCCTTCCCGATACTTCTGTCTACTTGGAACAATTTAACCCGTAAACGGTCCAAGCAGATCTACGTTCATATGCATAGTGCTCCAAAAGTATATTACGTTTTATTGACATATTTTCAAATATAACAAAAAAAAAAAAAAAAGCAGATCAAAGTTTTTTTTACATGTTTTCAAATGTAAAAAAAAAAAAAAAATATCTGCTTTTTTTTACATATACTTTCAAATGTTGAAAAAACGTATATAGTATACGTTTGGATTGTTTACAGGTTAAAACCCTGAATGTGACATTCGGCAGGCATGTCCCTATTTTTCATATTAAACCATGTCTCAGTTATGGCAAAAACATCAATGTTACCCACACTTGCAACTAATCTCAATTCGTTTATCTTATTTCTCACACTACGACTATTGGTATTCAATGATATATTTTCAGAAACCCTCCCTTCTCTTTTCTCTTCCTGCTGATTTCTGTTCCTTCACTATGCCTGTTACTCTCCTTGTCACCTAATGCCACTGGCTTACCTATATTCACCAATAACACTACCTCATTCTGCCTATAACTGGTTTCCTTAACCCTTTCAGGGTCCAGAGGCCAAATTTCAAAGTGTGCACCAGTGTCCAAGAATTTTCAAAAAATAATTGTTATTTTTTCTTATGAAATGGTAGAGAATCTTTTTCTGAAGGTAATAAAACAAAAAGTATGAAATTTGATGGAAAATTAATGAAATTATGCTCTCGCGAATTTTGATGTGTCAGTGATATTTACCCATCGGCAATTTTGCCGACTTTGACTCCCATTTTAGGCCAATTACATTATCCCAGTCGACCAAATTCTTAGCTATTTCACTAGTATTACTTCTATTCAATCGATTGAGCACAAGAATTCGCCAAGTGAACTGTTTCAACAAATAGATAAAGTGATCGGAAATTGGTAATTTGGCCAATTTAATGCAAAGTTCAAAATTCTCCAATTTCAAAATAGGGTCAAGAATAAATAATGCAGGCATTCCTGGCACTAAACTAACATTTTCTCTGTTCATTAGTTATGTTTTCAGGCTTTACTAATGAATTCCATTTCAATTTTTTATTAACATAATGAATTTTTATTCAAACCAAAAAATAGAAGATTTACTGTTATGCAATATTGTAAAAATTGTATAAATAATATCACAACATTTGTGAACGTATATCAGACCCACCAGCAGGCGTGTATTAGACGTGTGAGATCATTTGTTTACTCTTGAACATCGGCAAAAGTTTAACATTTCCGCTACTTTGAGCTCAGTTTCAAGCCATCTCCAGTACTAAAACCAATCTAAATAATCTCTATTTCTGTAATATATCTTCCATTCTATCAAATGAGACCAAGAAATTGCAAATACAACTATAAAAAACATATGAAAAAATACTACAAAGTCGCTGTTTTAATCGAAAATTACGGTCTCAATTTTTTTCCTCTCATTATGCACTGTGCGCTGCAGGATTTGCTTTATGTGGTGCACACATACCACATAAATATATTCTCTCATATCTAGGCCAAAATTTACTGCTCACAGCTTATCAGAGTGAGCTGAGCTCATGACGTAGATCTACGGTTTGGGCCCTCAACATAAAGCCATAGATCTATGGCACGGACCCTCAAAAGGTTAAAACTCACACTGTTACACTCAGAATACATTGATTTTTCCACAAAAACCCATACCAATATCTATTTCTAGTTTAAAGACCTAACAGCTCCCTCCACTGCACTGGCCAGTGCTCCCACCCCAAACCTAGATATGTGAACCCCCATCCCTGGCATACATGTCATTTCTGCCATAGAAGAGGTCTTAGTTGTCTATGAATGTTACTGCATTTTCCTTACAGTGTTTGTCCAGCCAGCAATTGACACCAATTGCCCTGGACAACCATTTATTTCCAACTCCTCTCCTGGGAAAAATGCCACATATCACAGGGTTCCCACCCTTCTTCATAATTATCTCTATTGCTGTCCTATACCTGCTAATTAGGTCTTCACTCCTATGTCTGCCAACATCGTTGCCTCCCGCACTGAGGCAGATAATAGGATTGCTCCCATTACTCTTTGTGATATTGTCCAGACAGCTAACAATATCCCCTATCCCAGCCCCAGGAAAACATACCTTCTGCCTCCTCCTCCTGTCCCTGGCCCATTTACCCTTTTATGTAAAGAAAGTGATCACCAAACTTCAAATGAGAGGTTATTTGATAATTATTTCTTGACAATATTTCTGGCATCCTGAGCATCACTATCGGTTATTATATGTTTGAAACCAAAGAACTCATCATCGCTTCCATTATTATCAGTGGGGAATAAAACTTGTATAGGTAGTAGGTTGGTAGACAGCAACCGCCCAGGGAGGTACTAACCGTTTCTCCCAAGTGATGTAAACGAAGGTCCATGTTAATTGTTATTTCATGATGATAGGATACGGTGTCCTTTTTTCTGTCTCGAATTAACATGCAGATTTCAGGTCGCTCATGGCATATTCTAGCATACACTATAGGTCACGACTACACATACATGTACAATGCACATATATGCACACCCCTTGGAGTTTTCTTTTGCTATTTTCTTTCTAGTTCATTATTCTTGTTTATTTCCTCTTATCTCCATGGGAAGTGGAACAGAATTTACCTCCGTAAAGCCATGTCTTTTGTTAAGAGGCGACTACAAGCCGGAGCAAGGGGCTAGTAACCTCTTCTCCTGTATATATTACTAAATGTAAAAGGAGAAACTTTCGTTTTTCCTTTTGGGCCACCCCGCCTCGGTGGGATACGGCTGGTGTGTTGAAAGAAAGAAAGAAAGAATAAAACTTGTTCATTTTGCCTGGGAGTAAGGCCTTTGTGTGTGTGTGACATGTGCCAAAGGTGTACTAAATCCAGTTTTCCCACAATGAACTGAAGGGTCTCAATTTTTTGTACTATTTTCCTGTATATAGGCCTACCAGGCCTCTCCCACTAAATTTAAAGCCACCAGAATTTAGATGTAGATCTACATCAGGGATCCTGGCATCAATGGCATAGTTCTATGCAATGGCCACTGAAAAGGTTAATGACTGGCCTGGAAACTCACTGAACTTAAATCCGATATAGAACATTTGGAAAATTGTTAATCGTAAGCTTTGTGGCATGGACATGTCCTCTAACCCCTAAATCCTGAGTGCCATTAATCAGGTATGGGAGGGTATTGACTTTTCTCTCCTCCATAAGTTAGCTTTAGCAGTGCCTAGAAGACCTAAGAATTATTTCTTTTCTTTCAATGTACCGGCCATATCCCACCGAGGCAGGGTGGTCCAAAAAGAAAAACAAAAGTTTCTCTTTTTAAATTTAGTAATTTATACAGGAGAAGGGGTTACTAGCCCCTTGCTCCCGGCATTTTAGTCACCTCTTACAACACGGATGGCTTACAGAGGAAGAATTCTGTTCCACTTCCCCATGGAGATAAGAGGAAATGAACAAGAACTAGAAAGAAAATAGAAGAAAACCTAGAGGGGTGTGTATATATATGCTTGTACATGTATGTGTAGTGTGACCTAAGTGTAAGTAGGCGTAGCATGACGTACCTGAAATCTTGCATGTTTATGACACGGAAAAAAGGACACCAGCAATCCTACCATCATGTAAAACAATTACAGGTTTCCGTTTTACACTCACTTGGCAGGATGGTAGTACCTCCCTGGGTGGTTGCTGTTTACCAACCTACTACCTATGTTAAGAATTATTATAATCATGGGGGAGTGCTAAACCCGTAGGATTATACATCACATGTGGGGGGGGATGGAAGGTATTCAGGCTCAATTCAGGGAACCGGAGCACAGATCCAATTCGCTACACCAAGAGCCCCTCACCAGCATCAAGGAACCTCTCTTGAGGGGCTCTAGATCAAGAGCCCCTCACCTGCCTCAAGGAACCTCCACTGAAGGGAAGACTTAAGAAGTGCCTTAAGAGGAAGGGTAATACTACAAAAGTACTAGCTTAGGTGAGGGACACACATACATATTTTAGCATTATATTTTTAAAACAATAGTTAATGGTGAACAGTCTTGTTATCTGTGTGATCTGTTTATGCATGTGTGTATTCAAGACCCAGGATGCTGCTTTGATGTAACACAAAATTTAGGGGTAGTGTTGATGAAATATGGTCACATATTGATAACTTATAATGATGCAAAACTTTGTTGTGATTAAAAGTATCAAATACTTTTTGTAGATCAATAAACAAGTGATCTGTTGAATTTATCAATGGTTTTCATCACAGCGTCAGTTGTTCTCTTTTTTTTTTTTGGGTGGAGAAGGGGGCACGAGTGCTGATAGACTTGGATTTAGTATAATGGAAGAGTGTGCGTACTGTTTCATTATATAGTGTATTTGCTAGTGTAAAATTTTCTCAAATATTTTGTAGTATTTCTAGGTTTGAGATTAGAATTTTTTTTGTGTAGGGATTAAAATGGAATACCAATCAAGTAATGTATGTAAACTTAAAATATAAGATCTGAAGTTTAGAGTGGTAGTGCAGATTAATATCTTGTGTAGTGCAAGAGTTGTTCACAGTAGTTCTTCAAAGATTGTTGGGTACCAAGAACGTCATCACAACACCTGCAAAATAAGGTTGTTATATTTTTATACTGTATATTAGTAACAGTTACTTAAATTATGCCACCATAATTTATAATTTATTTTGAAAATGTCCATGTACTGTGTACTTATTTCTTATCAAAATCAAGTCAAATGTTTAAAGTCTCATACATAACTCTTATACATAACAATATGCAAACTGTCTATGGACAAGAGAATGTTTCACAGTATATCTGAACAACTTCATTCACTGCAATGCCTTTCAAAGAGGGGTTGCCTTGACTATGGTAAAAGATATGAGATCCAAGGAACTGGAGCTGCTCCTCTCCCTCCTCAGATTAAACCTGATTGCTCCCATTTTCTAGGTACTGTAGTCCTTATGGGTTTAATGCTTCTTTATGCATATAATAACAATAATTCAATTCACTGTTGATAAAACAATAGCAATACAAACTTACTTAAGGAAAGTATTCCTGAAATTGTAAGAAAACAACCAGTGTAACCAACAGCATTCAACATCAACTGGTTAACGGCAGCCATCAAAGGTCCTGACACAGTCTGCAGCAAGAAAAAAGTGAAACCTCTCATCAACAAATTTCAGCAATTTTTGACAAAAAAATAAAAAAGGCAAATATCTGAAGCATCAGACAAAATGAAAAATAGTTTGTGATTCTGGATTTTGTTCATTAGCATGTTTTAATGAATGACTATATCTTTTATCTTGGTTATTTTTTTTACATAATGCACTCATACTTTGTGTATGTGCCTTGTATGCATGCATGAAGACTCAACATTTGATAAAGACTGATGAAGAACTATAGTTATTATTTACATTATGTTAGAACGTAAGTGGTTGTCAGGGAAGGGAGAGGAAAGGAGGGTGGGTGGGTGGATGGACAGCCACCAAGGTTGTCATGGTAGCAGTGTGTTAGACTATTTGTAGATAAGCAGTTGATGGGTAGATTTCTGGATGTTCTCATTTTTAGTGGGGCAACACATATACCAGATCATTACTTAGTGGCAGTTAAAGTGAGAGAAGCAGATGGGGGTACAATGTCATCAGCAGGTAAGAGTGCAAGTGAAAGTGAATAAATTAAAGGAGGAGAATGTTAGGTTAAAATATAAGCAACTATTGGGATAAAGGTGGGCTAATGAAATTACAGATCAGGAGGAGGGTTGAAGAAGTATGGGGTGGCATGCAGTGCTGGAGCAGGCAGCAGAAGTTTGTGGATATAGGAGGGTGAGTGCAGGTGGGGAAAAGAACAGCAATTAGTGGAGTGAGGTCAAGAGGGTGGTAAGGGAGAAAAAGCATATAACGAGTTTTTACAATGAAGAAAAAAACATGTACAGAAGGTAAAATATATGGAGAGGAAAAAACAGAGATTAAAAGAGTGGTGAGGAACTGCAAAAAGAGATCCAACTAGACAGTAAGATTTATCAACAAATTCTGCAGAGAGATTAATAAGCTGAGGAAGCCTACAACTACGAAATAAATATTGCTATAATCAAATAAAGTGCTAAACCGACAAGGGTCATGCAGTGCTGCAGTGCAGAAAATAGTGCCGGGTCTATAAACAGCTAGTTGGAAAGGGGATCAGAGGTAAGGGAAGAAAAGGGCTGATAGGGACACTAAAGGCTATATGTCAAAGTTGCTGACAAGAAGTCAGAAAGTGAGCATAAGTTGAAGTCAGGGCAGTCAGCAAGTAGGGAAAATAGAGTAAGAGTGGTAGAATGGTGGTGACGATGGAAGTAAATTCTGCGAGCTTGCTAGTAAACCAGACAATCCACAAGAAAGTGATGAATTGAAACAGGGACCTGATAAACCTCTCAGAGAGGAATAGGGTGTTGCTCCATGAGATACCCATGGGTAAGACAAGTATGGCCAATGTGGAGACATGAGAGTACAGTCTCCTGAGTATGGCAATAGTGGTAACAAGATGGCTACAAACCCAAACATGGTTTAATTCAATGTAATTTGTTATACTGCATGTCCGACCACTGTAGTTGCCAATGATTGCGAAGACGGGTAGAGATAACGGTCTCAAAACTCCAGACCATCGCGTTAGCCACTGGGCCAGCTAGCTTCAATAAGATTCGTCCAACTAGGTGTATTTCTACACCATAGGAAGGTTAGCATAGGCACCACTGTGTCCACAAATGCAAGTTTTTTACAGACGAATCTCCCACTAGCATGGCCATGACGAACTCTAGCTCAAGTCCCCTCAAAGCCATCAACATGACTCACGAAATCATAATGACATGATTGCAAACAAACCATACCACGGGTGAGATTTGAACCCGGGGTCAGAGAGTCTCAAAACTCCAGACTGTCGCGTTAGCCACTGGGCCAGCTAGCTTCAATGGTTTGTTTACAATTGTGTCATTACGATTTCGTGAGTCATGTTGACGGCTTTGAGGGGACTTGAGCTAGAGTTCATCATGGCCATGCTAGCGGGAGATTCGTCTGTAAAAATTTGCATTTGTGGACACAGTGGTGCCTATGCTAACCTTCCTACAGTGTAGAAATACACCTAGTTGGACGAATCTTATTGAAGCTAGGTGGTCCAGTGGCTAACGCGACGGTCTGGAGTTTTGAGACTCTCTGACTGTGAGTTCAAATCCCGCCCGTGGTATGGTTAGAGATGACGGTAAAGTAGTACCTGAAGATAACATACCGCTGACCACGCAGCAGCGTCTGGCCATTCACTGCCCACACATCAACGTGTCCAGGGACCCAACAAAAAATGATGTCTTTATTTTTGCTAGCTACATGACGCAACCAAAGTTGAATACAAAGGACCAGAGGATGGGGTTGAAGATGTATGGGGTAGGTTTAAGAAAGTTATGTTAGAGTGTTAGAAGTTTGTGTTTACAGGAAAGTGGGTGAAGGAGGGAAGAAGAGCAATTGGTGGAATGATGATGTAAAGAGAGTAGTAGCTTGTTAAGCACTGAGAGAATCCAAAATGATCACAAATGCCGAAGGAGACATACATGCAATATGGAGAAGCGCCATGAGGATGGCATACAACTCAGCTGTAAAAATACTAGCCAAGTCTAACTAATGACCCTGGACAACATCGTCAGGGAACACCGTTGTGAACCCAACACTGTTAGAAGATTTAGAACCATCTGTATAAACAGCGATGGCACAAGCATGAGATCAGAAGTGATCAAGAAAAAGAAAGCGAGAAGCAGTCATAGGTATTAGAGATTTAGTGCACGGCATTAGGGAAGAACAGACACGAACCGTCGGAACCTCCCAAGGGGGAAGGGAAAAGACAGACACTACATGAACATACAAGGGAGGCAACTGGAGAGAAGACTGGAGTGAGTGAAAATGAAGAGAAAATGGATGGAGTAAGCAGGGGCGCCAGTCAAATAATGGCCCTCTACTAACGTTGGAGACCAACCTATACATAGAAGAAACACAAAGGTCATGCATGCGGACAAAATAATGAAGGCAATGAGCATCACGATGATCAGCTAAGGAAGGAACATTCGCCTCGGCATAGAGGCTTTCAACAGGGGATAAACACAAGGCACTAAGGTATAAATGTAAACCTTGATGATGAAGGGGATCTAGCTTAGATAGAGTTGCAGGAGAAGTTGCAGAATAGACTTGGTCACCATAATCCAGCTTCGACAAGACTAGAGTGGAGGAGAGTCCTGTGATCCACCCTCCCATGATCAATGCGCAAGAATTTTAAGGAGGTTTAGGCAACCATGGCAGGCTGCTTTCAAAGAGGAAATGTGAAGTTTCCATGTCAACCATCAATTGAATCGAAGGCCAAGAAACTTGACCGTATCACATTCTGGGACATGTGAGCCATGCAAGTACAATGAAATATCTGGGACAAGAGGACATCTAGTGAAAGTAATGAAATAGGTTTTCACACAAGAAAATATAAATCCATGAAAAGTGGCCCAATGGGAAACACGGTCAATCACATCCTGGAGGGAGACAGATACCTAGAAACAGTCAGTGCCTGCGTGAGCCATAACTAAGTCATCCACATAACGTGATGACCAAATGTGTTATGGAAGAATGGATGGTAGATCATTTATAGCTATAAGAAAATGGGTAGTGCTAAGGACACAACCATGTGGGACTCCCTCAGCCTAAACAATAGTCCGAGGAAAGCAATGCGCCAACACGGGTGTGAAAATGTCGGTCAGATAAGAAAGCAGCAAAGTTAGTAGATTACTGTGAAGGTCTCAGGAGTGGGTCCGGCTTAAGATGTTTTACCTCCAGGTGGTGTCATATGCCTTCCCGAGATCAAAAAGGACTACCATAATGGAGTATTTATTAACAAACGCATTTTGCACATATATAACTAAGTGGAGCAAGGGGTCCAGAGTAGAGAGGCCCTTGCGAAAGCAATATTGGCGAGGAAAGTCTCCAAATACCACATCAAACGTCTATGCACCAACTGTTCCATCATCTTATAGACTGCACTGGTTAGAGCAATGGGACAATATTAAGAGGTATCATGCCCTGAAGTGCCTGGCTCGCGAAATGGCAAACAATGGTAGAATTCCACTGTTGAGAGAGACCCCTGGTGTCCAAACAAGATTGAAAAGATGCAAAAGGACTGTAAGGACTGTAGAATGCAGATGCTGTAGCATATGGATATGAATACCATCAGGCCCAGCAGATGATGGCTGGTAAGTGGAAAGTGTGGACTCTAGCTCTAAGAGAGTAAAAGGTAAGTTATAAGGCTCCATCCAATTTGAAGAAAAATCCCTGGCAGACTTAGAAACATGAAACGAGGGACAGAGGTGAAGCCCTTGGGAGACATGGACAAGATATTTCCTGATTTCTATGGCAACTTCAAGAGGTTCTGCAACACTGATACCAGCAACCCACAAAACAGGAGCTGGGTCCAAAGCATACTTGCCACACAACTTCTGTAACTTCTTCCAAACTGCACTCACTAGGGAAGTCGAGGTAATGGTAGAAATGTAGTCTTGCCAACAACTGAGTTTAGCATCATGTATTACACAGCGAGCAACTGCCCTCGCCCGCTTAAAATGCAGCAGACGATCTGTGGTCTGATTATATCGATAACAGCCCCATGCAGCACGTTTGAAGCGCACTGCACGAGCACACGCAGGGGACTACCAAGGCAAGAATGTCTGAGAATGCACATTTGAGGTCTGAGGAATAGAATGCACCACTGCAGTCAAAACTAAGGTCAAAAACTGGTGCACCAGCTCATCTGATCTCGCCAGTAAAATCCCACGTACCAACGCCCGTGCCGGGGACTACCTAGATGGGAATTTTCCAAATTCCCTATATCTTGTATCAACTGAGCCCACGGAAGTCACCACGATCATAAAGTCACTCAAAAATAACTCAGGGAATCTGTCTCACATCCTACCATTATTGTACAATTGAGCGGCCCATGTCCTTTTGCATGCTATTACATTACTTTTTAACAAGTCACTAGAAACTAGCACTTTCCCGACAATACTCAAGACAGCAAGGGTTACACCAATACATAAAGGTGGTGACCCTACAGATGTAAGCAACTAATAGGCAAATATCAAACTTACCA